CAAACTGGCGGACAACTACTGGACTTTGACTGAGCACCCTTTAAGCCAAACATGTGAGATGTGTTCTGGAAAAGCGCCACCTATGTATAGTCTATCTTTCCCATAGGCTTCTGATGTTTACAAAATTAATTATGGTTTTTTTCGAAAAAAACTGCCAAAAACGCAAATATTATATACTCTTTATAGTAAATTACGAAAGAGGAGGTTACTGTAGTCCAAAAACTCACCGAAATACGAACCGCGTACTTACACGTTGTGAGATTTGTTAAATTGTGTTATACTTTTTCGCAAAGCACATTAATGCAACCCTGTATGCTCATAAGAAGACAACTTCTGGCACTCAAGGCATTTTGCAGTCTCTGAGGATCATTTTGCATATCTGCTGCACGCGTTAGCCGGCGAATTTACGTCACATTAATCACTGCGCCGGACCACTTCTCCGGGCGGCTCGAGTCGGACTTGCTCGAGGGCAGGGAAAAAGGCCAGTTCAGAGTGAATTCAAGGCATAATTTCCTCGCTATAATGAGTGCTGTCCACTTTTAAATTATCCCCATGCGCCAACAGTTTGCCTCGGAAGGTTACCAACCGACAGGGGAATTAGATGCTGCCCAGGACTGGGGGCAGGCTGAGACGACTCTTTCTTGATGTGACCTTCGTAAAATGTTCGTTCATATGAGAACCAGGGCACTACCTGAATGAAGCCTGTGGTAGGTGTGACATGCGTAAACTAACAATTTAACCTTGTCGCTTACTTGTTTTGCCAACCGATCACGATGGGTGTGGGAAGAGGGAGTGAAGTAGACGCCGCGCAAATCTGCTTCGCTGTAAACAGATTCTCACACAAGTCACTGCTACATCCATCTCACGGAACACTGGTGGACCTCCTTCGTCGTCAGGATCAGCCTGTCAATAAACCTGTGGGTAGTAGGTCGTACTGACGATCATGCCAGTATCCCAAAAATCTGACAAGTACGAACTTTTATAACTAAAAGACCTTTCTATCGAAGTACTAAGTCTAAAAAATACCTACTTCGATATATAATGAGTATAAGGGTGTTATTGCGCATTCTGTCTATAAAATACGAAAATCAGTTCGAAAGGTACTACTTAATGGTTTGGACCCATGTCTGATCTATACAGTTTTCTGGAGAAGTGGCAGTTCAACCGTCGTCCCCGGCGTTGTCCACCGTGTGCCTGACCGCAGGGTGAGCGCAAGGGCGGTGATTATTGTATGGATTAGTTTATAGGGATAGAAAACCTGAACTGCATCTACCGCACCCTTTCCTACCTCACCCTCCTGGACCCGGTGCCAAGACGGAGTCAAGACGACCGGGGGGGGGGAGGGACGAGACGACACAGGGGCTGACAACGCCAAACAGCTCATCAACGCGTGCCCTTACGCCTGCATGTCTGCGCACAAAGGACTAGGACTTTGCACAACATGAAGGGGGTGGGTGCGGCTTGGATCGCAACTGAGTGGATGTAACATAAAGTCCAGAGTAAAGAACCAATACAGCCTGAATCTCAGTCCACTAGTCGGCCACCCCGCGCAAACACATGCTGGGTTGAGTTGAATCGTCATTCGGCAATCCGCCAAGCAACGGCTTTTAGCGCACCGTGATAGATTCAAGCGCGTCAGATTTGTTTATAGAGAGGAGTATGAGCTGAGTCGTCGAGCCCACTCTCCTTTCTCATTCCCAGGCCGCAGTCACTGTCCGAGCCGGTCGGTTGACAGGTGCGGGGAATGGGCGCGGTTACTGACACATCTAGTGAGAGATGGGTTTGCATTTCCTGGCAATCCTTTTGTAGTTGGCGGACGATGAAGGTCATCTAGAGGATACCGTTGTGTCGTATGAGGCCACACTGGCTTTCCGGGAGAAGTCCGTGTTGAATATGGTCGTGGGGACGATTGAGAAGGATGCGAGCGAAGAACTTCATGGTGATCTTCAGCAGTGAGATACCTCTGTGGTTGCCACAGAGTTGCCGGTTACCTTTCTCCTGTTGATGTGAACGATTGTCGCGTCTCTGAAATCTGTAGTGGGTGGTCTGTGCGCTACCGTCGCCAGCTGAAATCCCCAGTCGTATGGAGGAGATAAAAGGCACCAGAAGGAGGGGTTTATTGTGCACAGAACCCGGAGTTGTCCTCTCAGGCGGCAGTGGCTACTGGCGAAGCCAGGGCTGGTGTTGACTGCGTCCAGTCACGCCTGAGAGTCCCTAAGATAGTGGTGGCAGCCGCTTTTGTAGGCTCGTGGGCCAAGCTCAAGTGGTCTCCAATCGCTGTGTGTTGCATTTGCCGAGGGTAGTGTCCCAGTTTTGCTGGTTGCAGGGGGCGGCGCCTTCAAGTGGCCGCATGGGCAGCTGCGACTGCGCGGACGCAGGTATGCCCGAGCTGTTGGTCGCGTGACTTCAGGCCAGCTCGTCCGGGACGGCTCGCTGCAAGGGGTGAATGACCTTGAGGCAGCGAGGTCTTGAACAATGACGCCAGACCGGTCATGATGGCTGGCCACTACAAATCCTAAGGGACTCTCTCCTGACGCCAAATCCCCTGGAATATCTTTGAAAATTTGCCCATTAGACCCGGGCTGCCGCGATCGTAAAATTCGGACGGGGTTGCATTGGATCCCTGTGCTTTCCCGCTGGAGAATTGTTGCACGACTTTGATGTTCTCCGGGAGAAAAGACGGGAGGTCTAGGTCATTGTCTGTTTCCGCTTGAGGAAGCCGGTCTGTGATGGCATCGGAGACTGTGGGTAGGTTGTTGAGGATGGTTCTGAAGTGCTTGGCTCAGCGCTTCAGAATCTGCGATTTCTCCGTCAGAAGTATCATTCTATCCGAGCTGGGAAGCGGCGCTATTCCTTTGGTTCAGGGACCATAGACCATCTTAACTGATGTGAAGAAGCTCTTTGTTTCATTGGGGTTTGCGTATCCTTCGAAAGTTACTCATTCAAAAGCCAACATACTGCCGTATATGGACTAACTTGACCTGCCCAATTTCTCGTATTCTTACCAAATTAATATTTTTCACTCGAAAGCTGTACTGTATGGTGCCGTACCATCTAGACATCACGCCCGTACGCGCGACAAACGAACATTCAAGGTCCTGGACGCTCATTCAGACCTCCTATGTGGTGACTGGCCATCCCGAGAGTTCGGCAGTCGTTGCCGATGCTGTCCAGCGTGGGCTCCACAGCAAGGTGGATCAGGACAGTGACTCGTGCGTGAATTAGCTTACAGTCAATGTAGACTTGCACCGCACTCTCCCCCTCTCCCCCACCTGGGCCCGGTGTCAAAACATAGTCAAAAAGGCCGGAGGTGGGAGAGGGCGCAAGTGGATGGCACGGTCGAGTCCGCACCTTGGCGCTGCACTCCACACCCACCCTCTGGTCAACACAGCAACAACAACAGAAAGGGCTGGCATGACCGAGGTCGCACCTAGGCGTGCCCTCACACCTGACTCGGATTCCACGGAGCGAGAGTGCCATAAAGGCCATATTAAGAAGGAGCCATTGCAGCCTGACTCTTAGACCGCCAGCCGGCCATTCCACATAAACACACAACACTGGGCCGACTTCGAGGTCCAAGTTATCGCGTCAGCGGGCAATCTTCCAAGCCAGGGCTTTTAGTGCACCGTAATAGCTGCAAGGGCGTCGAATTGTTCATAGTGAGGAAAATGCACTGAGTCGTCGACCTCACTTTCCTTTCCCATTCCCAGACCGCAGTCACTGTTCGGGCCGGTCAGCAGACTGGAGCGGGGGATGGGCGCGGTGGCTGGCATGGTCTAGTGACCTCGTCTGCATGCACCGCATGCACGACCTGGTCCTCCAAACACAAACATCAGGATTTCATACAACGGGGGTTGAGCGACGTACATCTCACATGCGTGAGAGTGCCGTAGGTCACATAAAGAAAGGGCCACTTCAGCCTGGCTCTCAGCCCACCAGTCCGCTACTCCACACACACACACACACAACTGGGCAGACCGTATGGACTGAGTTGCAGCGTCAGTCAGCAGCCTCCTAAGTGACGGCGCTTGACGCGCCGCGCTAGTCTCAGACTCGAATCACACATGCGGCAAAGAAGCAGCATGGAGACGGAGCCAAGACATGCACTTCCCACTTGCGTGGAAGGTGGCAATTCAGTGCTTGTGGTGGATAGTGATGTTGCGTAATGTAGGTAGAGGAAGATGTGATGGTGTAGTTTAGCCGATGGTTGGCCGCCGCATGTTTTCTTGAATGCGCATGTGACCTAACAGGCCCATGGGTGGGTGGATGTGCGACTGCAGGAGGACAGTTGGGGCAAATGCAGCTAGTGTAAATTGGTGCACCATGCGCTGGTTCGCCAGTCTCTGTGTGATGGATTCGCAAGCGACCGACCGGGTCGATGCGTGAGGTGAAGATGCGTTCAAAGTGAGGACAGGCATGAATCGAGTCCATATCGCTGGCGTTGGTGGGGGAGGGGGTTGGTATTTGTTGGCGTGTCAGAATTGTGTGCAGTGGTGGTAGGTACAGGTGCCGCCGTTGCGGATGTTGAGGCAATGGAGGGGGATGAGAAAGGAGGGGGAGAAGGGGATGAAGGGAAAGGATGAGGAGGAGGAGGAGGAGGGGGCGGAGGAGGATGAGGATGGTGGTGAGGGTTCGGGAGTGCGTCAGTGTTAGTTGTCGGTGTGAAGGATGAGGCAGAGCTGGACGAAGAGACAGCAGACGGTGTAGACCGGGTGCTGCAGTTGGTACAAAGATGTTCTATAAGGCCGATTGGTGCCAGGAACGTCCGATGGCAGCGTAAGCAGGTCGGGGCTGGTTAAGCCTTTGGGTTGCGAGGAAGGCGCAGTTGGGATTCGCGAGTCTCGCGTTTGGCTTTGCCGGCGATGATGCGGATGGCTTCGTAGATCGTTGCGCATGTCTTCACTGTTCTCCTCCAGGACGGTCGGTCATCGGCGAGGTCTACCCAAATGGCCGGATTAATCTGCAGTCTATAAGGTGTCCTTGTAGCTACCGACTTGGCCTCACGTGAAGACGTCTCCGTAGAAGAATCGTTTGGGTTGCCGCTCGTCATCCATCCACATGAGGTGACCGCTCCAACGCAGTTGCAGTTGTCTCAGCATGGCGTGGATGTTGAAGATTCTCGTCCGCTCCAGAACATCCGCGTCCGGGATCCGGTCTAGCCATCTCAGCTTCAGTATCCCTCGAAGACAGCTGAGGTGGAAATGATCGAGTCTCCACGTCTGTTTCGTATACACCGTCCAGGTCTCCGCTCCATACAACAACGACGGCAGAATGACCGTTTTGTGCATCTTCAGTTTGGTGTTCAGATGCAGACCGTGACTGTTCCATACGGTGTTCTGCAGACGGCCGAAGGCTTGACTGACTCTAAAATTCCGGTGGGCCACTTCATCGTCGATCTTGGTGGTGCGAGAGAGGGTGCTACCCAGGTAGGTGAGGTTGTCCATGACTTGGAGTTGGGTGCCGTTCACATTGATGTGGGGTGCGACGTAGGCAGCGTCGGATGGCGGTTGATGCATGCCGACCGTCTTTTCCTGGTTGATGACCAGTCCGAAGTTGTCACAGGCGACGGCGAAGAGGTCCATGCTCCTTTGCATGTCCCCTTCTGTGGTTGCGCTGAGAGCGCAGTCATTTCTCAGAGAAGTTCGTGGAAGGTAGTTGTGGATACACGCGACTGGAAGTGCATCCGCCGATGATTAAGGAGTTGGTCGTCCACGCTGTAGGTGATGCGGATGCCAGGGCTTTCGTCAAGGTAGGCGTCCACTGGCATTGCAGAGAACATGAGACTGAAGAGGGTAGGCGCGAGGACGCAGCCCTGCCTCGTTCCGTTGGTCACTGCGAATGCCTCTGAGACAGCTCCATTGTCCGTGACTCGCGCCATCATGCCATCGTGGAACTGGCGCACCATCTGAGTAAATCGTTCAGGACTGCTGAATTTCCGCATGATTTTTCAGAATCCTTCGCAATTCACCGTGTCGAAGGCTTTCGTCAGATCCACGAATGCAAAGTAGAGGTAGGTCCGCATCTCCTGTAGTTGGCAGGCGACGAAGATCATGTCGGTGGTCTCGCGAGAAGGCGGAAGCCGCACTGGCTTTCCGGCAGGAGACATTTTTCCAGATGGTGGTTCAGGCAGTTGAGAAGAATGCGAGTGAACATCTTCCTAAAGATGTTCGGCAGCGACATTCCTCTGTGACTATTGCAGAGTTGGCGGTTCACGTTTCGCCTGTAGGGATGGATGATTGTGGAATCCCCGAAATTCTGGGAGACTTCTCATGGACGTCACGTCACCTGAACGAGCGCCATCAGATGATCCATGAGTTGAGGATTACAGCGCTTGTAGATCTCCGCAGGGATTGCGTCCGACCCGGCTCTTTCCCGCTGGAGAGTTGCTACACGACCCTGATGGTTTCGTGGAGAGATGACGGGAGGTCGAGGTCGGTGTTAGTCTCCATTTGGGGCAGACGGGCGATGGCGACGTCGGAGGTGGCGAAGGGACGGCTGAGGATGGTTCTGAAGTACTCATCCCATCCTTGTAAAATTGGTGTCTTCTCAGTGAGTAGGGTAATGCCGTCAGCGCTGAGAACAAAAGTAGTTCCTTCGGTTGGCGGACCGAAGACAGCCTTGATCGCAACGAAGAAGTCCTTCCGTTAGTTGTTGTCCGCGTACCCTTGGATCTCCTCGGTCGTGCGAGCCGTCCAAGCATCCTTTTTTTCGCGCAGCCGCTGTTGTACAAGGCGGTGACTACGGTATAAGCTCTGCTATCGCTGGTGGGGCGGTTGACGTAGGCTTTGTGCAGGCGGTTCTTCTCGACGAGCAGGTTGCTGATGGCGGCGTCATTGTCATCGAATTAGTCCTGGTGTTGGCGACGTGCACGACCGAGGACAGCCAGGACCGTCGATTAGACTGTGTCTCGCAGTTGACACCATCGGTTCTCCATGGAGGCGTTAGCGTCAGCGGCGACGACAGCAGCAGCGGCGACTGGAAGGTTGGCTAGCCGTTGAGCTAGGTCATTGCTGGAGTGAAGATGGGGGGTAGACAAAAACAACAAAGCAATAATCCGCTCACCTTGAGGTATCCTGAGAGGCCGTATGTGAATCCGCATCTCGGAGATAACGAGACGATGGTCGGTCCAGCAGTCGGCACCCGGAATCGCCTCTGTCACCAGCACATCCCGCTGGTCTCGCCTCCGGAGGAGGAGGACATAGTCCAGCAGGTGCCAGCCTCGCGGCCGAGGGTGTATCTAAGCGGCTTTCTCTCGCATCGGGAGGCGAAAGTAGGTGCTGGTCAGGATGAGCTGGTGTTCAGCGCAGGTTCGTAGGAGGGGCAGGCCATTGTCGTTGAAGCCATCAAGACCATGGGGACCCAGCACTCCTTTCTGGACATCATGGTCTGTGCCGATGCGGGCGTTGAAGTCACAAAGGACTATCAACTTATCCACTTTAGACACAGTCGTCAGGAGGGCGTGCAGATCCGCGTAGAATTTGTCCTTTGCGGCGTCGCGGCTGGTCATGTGGGGAAGAGTAGACGCTGATGATGATGGCGAATTTGCCTCCCCGGAGAGGCAGGCGGAGGCTTATCAGGCGATCGTTGATGCCCTGTGGCAGACAGGACAGTCGTCCCAAGATGTCGTTCGGGATGGCAAAGGCGACACCCGCGTCCCGTCGCTCTGCCTTGGGACGACCGCTCCAAAAGAAGGTGTGGCCGGCACCAACCTCCTCCAGTTGGCCTTGTTCGGAGAACCGGGTCTCGTTGAGTGCAGCGATGCCTACCTTGTAACGCGCCAGCGCCCCACCCAGTAGCACTGTCCTCCGTTTTGGTCGGTTGCTCCTGGGATTGTCTAAAAGGGAACGAACATTCCAGGCTGCCAGAGTGAGCGGACTTACCTTACCAGTCTGGCGAGTGGGGCGGTGGGGAGTGGGAGGGGGCAAGCCACTTTGGATGGTGAGTGCTCGGGAGAATGAACAAATGCGAGTACGCGACGTCAGCTTCAACGAAAAATTCCTTTGACGCACTCACTCGTACTTTTCTGGAATAGAATGGTAAATCAACTGGAAGTTAATTGTCATTTAGCATCTCACCACCTGATACCCGGTAGATTACGATCGTGGTATTGCAACCGCTGGGGGATAATATACAACTAAATTCATACCTGCCTTCCGATTTAGCTGACTTCAGGATCAGGTCCGACTACTTGGTAAAGCACAGAGAATAGGTGAAATGTATCCGTAGAAGTGGCCGCTTTTACGTGCACCTGCGTCGAGATGTGGTGGGAACACGAGAAATCGAAGTAATAATCAGAGGTCTGTAACTCAAAATTGATCGGATAGTTTGCACCAGGCCTAATTACGTCGCTCTGTGTGCATTCAAGTAAACCTCATGATTACCCTTTTGAACAATCTGTCAAATGCCCCCAGCATGAGGTAGGGAAAAACAGTGGACGAGACAGTCGTTACGCATAAGCGTTTGAAAAAGTGGTAATCAATGAAAACTCACACCGATGCACTCCCTTGCTTGTTTTAAGATAATAACGCTGAGCACAGAAAACTTTGAAAACTTGAAGTTTTTGACAAAACGGTACAAAACCCAGTAGGTGTTGGCCCTGATCTCAGAGTGACGTTATTTTGACTACCGTTAGAATCAGTTAACCGTCGGTTCAAAGCACTCACTTGGCAAACTGCCTCACTGATTGGTTGCCGACTGAGATTTCCAGTATGAAGGTGATACCCACAGACAGGGCAAGACTCCGCACTGTGGCACCACTGGCACAAAGATGGCAGATGCATGCAGCCGCGAATCTTACTGTATTACAAGAGTCCACATAACGCCACTTCGATCTGGCGGTTCAGTCAGTTCCCGATTACGAGAACCTGGTCACAAACCATGCAGTTATGACGCATATACACACAGTAGGTGGGCTAACTGATGAAATGTCAGCTGAAATCCCGAAATGCGTTTTCGTTACGAAAAGATTAATTAAGTAGGATTGTAAAAATGATCAGTCTGCGGTATAATTCTATGATAATTCAGTTACCTCAGGATGCTGGCTTTCGAAAGAACTTCCTTGCGGCTACATGCAAAAACTACACTCTGTAAAAAACGACTACTTAAGTAGCGTGCATTTTTCTCACTGATTCTCGATGCCCCAAAAAGCCCAATTATATTTTATGGAAAACATGGATAAAAATATTCCTTCTTCCACTCATTCGGTAGAAAATTACGTCTTCTTCCAATTTTATACTCGAAGGAAGAGTATAATTCGGTTTTTAAAAACTTTTCCAATTCCCGAACAATTTTGAACCCGCTCTGCAGTCACGCTTGCATTCAGGGTTTCGAAACTACAAGCCATGTATTTCCCGCGTACGGAAAACCACACATTTTCCTAAGGTATTAAAAGGAGACCATATGGGGTACATAAGATTTAGCATTGGATTTGATCCATATTGTTAACTTTACAAGCCACATGGGTAAATGCAGAGACATGACGTTTTATGAACGGCCATTTCACGTTATTAAAAAGTCTCTCAATTAGAAACTTTTTAAAACCGAATTATGTCCCTCCTTCGAGTATAGCATTGAAACAAGACGCAATTTTCTACCAAATGAGCAAAAGAAGGAATATTCTTATGCGTGTTTACCATGAAATATAATTGAATTTTCAAGGGCATCGAAAATCGATGAGAAAATTGCATGCTACTTAAGTGGTCATGTTTTTGCAGAGTATAGTTTTCGTATGCAGCCGGAATGCTGAGGTACCTGAATTATCATATAATTATACTGCAGGCTGATTAGTTTTACAACCCTACTCAATCAATCTTTTTGAAACGAAAACGTATTTCGTAATTTAGGTTGTATTTCATGAGTTAGCCAATCTACTATACGTATTAATACTGCCAAACCAACGATCGTCTCTCCTCCCCCCTCGCCCCAGAACAGTTCCGTTCACGCAGGGGAGAAGTGGTGATCACACATTAGTAAACCGTCGTATCTCAGCAATTTATTTTTTACTCAATGTTTTGATTCCTAGTTTGTCCCCTTAGAATGGTTAAGGTGAGCTTAAGCAGGACTAATCCTTCAATGCGGTCCTCCTCCGTGTAGTTTGGTTTTCAGTTTTGAATTACATCTGCGGGGCAGAATACCTGGAAGGAGCCAAAATACGAGTCTTTGGCAGCATTTTGGAAGCAGTAGACGCAATCCATGGAGCAAGGACGGTATTCATTCAGCGTTTCGGATTCATGCTCAAAGCCTTCGTCAGAGATAGCATCGGACAGTGCAACTCTCACGCAATGTAGTTGCTATGCAGCCGCATACCTAACGAAATTTGCGGTTCTTTCCCTCATCACAAACCACTGTCCCTGGAGCAGTTAAGGGTAGAACAACTACGTGGGAGACGCTGGAGGACTGCTCCAGACGAAAATAGCCGAACACGCAACAGCAGCAGTGCGGAGAAATGACTTCAGCTCCCAAATCACAGCTCACTCGACGGAACCGAGCCGCATATTCAAGTTCGAAGAGGCCAAAATTCTAGGGAGGGCTGACAATCGCGTGAGCTGCGAACTGCTTGAATCACAGTTCACTGGACCCCAGGCTATTAACAAGTGCAATAACCTGTCACTCCATATGCAGAGTCGAGGTTAAGCTTGGACAGAATAATTAGACACGTTGGGAGCAGATGGGCGAGCACTTCCAATGCCAGTGAGTCAGTGAGTCGAATGGTCGGACAATTGCCACGTCAACATCCGAAACAGGTAATGAAATTGCAACGATTAACGACTCGAATGCCGGCCATCATGTAATTATAATACATAAGCAGCTCACTAAGAGTGTAACAAGCCAGAAGCAGACAGCTGTTCCACGGTTGTTACCAATCATCAGTACGTCATGCAATTATCACACTAAGGTCGACAATCTGCGATGAAGGAGAAGAGCGTTAATTTTGTTAGGTATGCGGTTGTATAACGACTGCGTCCTATAAATACTGCAACACAATGTGTATGAATTATCCCATCTGATGCTGAGTTCGAGGATAAATCTGAAACGTCAAGCGAAGTAAATTGCTTTTTCCAGCACTCACGTCTATCTCTCCAACCCTGAAGACATCTGCTAAATGAGATTTAGTATCGGGGCTTTAACCAGGACGAAGAAAATCAGAATGGTCACTGTATTGTATGCCATCGTCGACCAATGATAAGCCAGCCCCGGGCCGAGAAGCCTACGGGTTGTGAGCCAGAGTTCTGTGGTCATCGAGCGGTACGTCCAATATCCTATCCCTGAACCATTTGCTTATGGCCTGACGGTTGCCAATGGAAATATTCAGAGGTGAATCAGACTGGTGTTCACCGATACATCCTGTTTGCAGGGCGGAATGCAAGGCGTTCCGTTTGCCTTGGGACTCCGGCCAAGAACCAAACAGGCGGCCGTACAGCGATGAGCAGTTAATGACCGAAAAAGCATTGTGGACAAAATACCAAAAACTAGAAGGACAACTTTTGAATTAATTTTCTTCGCAGGCGAACCACATCCATGTCGGGAAGACCCGGAGCTAGAACACAGGCTGTTCAGTCGTAAGGTCAAGCTCCTTACCCCTGAAAACGGTACGTGTGTCCTGTCAGTTCCCATCGAGTGGTGTTCCCCGATCTGCCCTAATTGTGACCGCTTGTGTGATCTCAGGATCGGACTTCCAGAGGCAACATGAAATCGCACGCGTTTCACCCTGCCACTAGGGCAGGCTGGTGACCGTTACTCCTGCGTGGGAATGAATGCAATTTCACCGATCAGTAAACATCGCTCCCATGAAAACAAGTGCATGTGAACATTGCTTTG